ACAAGCTCGGTACCTACTCTCGAAAGTTCAACAGTCTGTGCGCAACAATTTGTAACTGGGTGCTCGGACGTCGACAAAAAGGTCGGCTGCGGGGCGCACGGGGAACCCGGTCCTAATCGTCGGATCCGAAACGGTGTACTTTTCCCATAGGAGGTAGCGTCGAATGTTCAGCTCTCTGCCCGTCGAGCGGGCCTCGGCAATTTTGCCAACGATTCCCGGCGCTTAGTCGTCTCGCTCGGTCTTAACGGAGGCTACCCGTGAGCTCCCCAGAAGTTTTCAAGTCTGAGCCTACTCTCACAGTGCGGAGTGCGGTCTCGAGTTTCTTCTTCTCCTCGCTTTTCTCCCTCCCGAAACCCATGCATTTATTCTGCAACACTTTTCCTATTTTTGCCAATCCCGTCGATGCGTACAAGAGCACTACTGCCAGCAGAGCTTTTAGGACCAAAGCTGCTCGTCGCGGATCTTCGCTCTCTGTAGAATGCTCGCAGAGGAGGAAAAGCAGAAACAGAGAGCCCACGAGATAGAAGAACGCTAACCCTTTCACACGCCGTTCGTCTGCACTTAGCTATGCTCTCCCCCCGTTGTTTTGCCTCGTCTGTTCCAGGAACGGGATAGGGAGTTCGGATATTCAGATTATCCAGATCACATCGGACGACCGAGCGGAAGATGAAGGGCATAAGCAGTCGATGACGAGACAAGCTTTCGAGCTTCTTCGGTTTTCAGAACCTTCCCCTAATCTGGAGAGGATAGAACCAGGACTCTTCTTAGAGGAAGACGGGCCGCATCAATCTACGGAATAATCCTCTACGAGATCTCAAGCAGTGGCAAGATAAGTCCCCTCAGCCTCTCGATATCTTTGAGGAATACAAGGCGGATCAGTTCGAACGAGCGCCCTCAAAAGAGCGGAACGCGTTATGACTATGACGGAGGCCGACGAAAAATACCCGGAACAGCTCTGAGGGATCGCGGCGTAAAACGCTCGGGAACGCAGCTATTCCCGAAGCGCCGCGCATCGGACCACAAAGCACGAGGCGATCCCGGGTTCTTCGCGTCCAGTTGAGACGACCGAAATCCTCGCTTGGCGGGAAAGCAGCGGCCGCCTCGGCGACCCCTGGAACGCGGGGATCGAGGGAAACCAGACGATGAAGCGTGCCAAACTCCCGGGCATGGGATTCTCCAGCGTCACCGGAAAGATCTTTCATTTTGAACCAGCATTGGCAACGTCACTCGGATGGTTATTCCTTTGAAACATTTTGACACTTGACCTGATTCGCCGAATCGGAGAGGCGGATGTAGAGATGGACTGAAGCCCTGCATACGTTCCAAGCCAGAAGCACTCATGTGAGACACCATTGTGATTGAGGACCGCGCCATGTTCGAAGAGGAAAACAGTGAAGTCCAATCGAGGCCACTGACTTTGCGGAGGGAGACGGCGCGGACAATGATCGAGAGGAGGAACCGATGGTTCCGACCGTAGTTATCGCTGGCAGAGAACGACACACCATCGATTTTGTTCAATTCCCGCTCGGAGCCGGCGGACCATTTTCAGGACAGTTCCCTCTCGACCCGGGAAGCTCCTCACCAAGACCCCGATATCCCTGAGGAACAGCACTGTTTCAAACCATAGCTCGCTCGTTTTTTTCTGCAACGACATTTTCGAATTCAATCGCGTGCGGTATGGACATCGTCTTTCGAATTTCGAGCATTGGACAAGTCATGAAACAGACGGAGCCTCAGACGCTGCACTGCTCGGAATTCCGTCCTCTCGGTATTTGCTCCGAAATTCCTCTCGCTCATAACGAGCAACTGATTGGAGAGATTCTTCACTACCTACAATCGGCGGCTAGTCGCGCCCGTACATTGAAGGCTCATGATTCATGATCGATTTGCGAATGGAAACTGACGTCGTATCCGGAACAATCATCTCGGACGACAATAAAGCAGAAACGAGGAGACGCAGAATGTCCGTCAGACTAGCCATCTTGGATGTATAGAATGTAAGTACGAACGGCGCTTCTGTTGTTGTCGAAAGCGGCAACGATGACGGCGGCCGGCGCGGCGGTACCATCATCATCATCCCCAACGCGGAGAGATTCAGACGAGACGGGAGAGAGTGCAAACGCAATTTCAGAGAGCGAGTTCCCGGAGAAATGCCACCGCTTCAATGAGATCCGAACGAAGTCGATGGCGTGGAACGCTTCGCATGAAAGACGGGGTCCTGGATGGAACGTTACGTCGATGGTGAGGAGGGGTTTTCCGGCAACTGCGAGACATTCGCTTCATATTTGTTCCTACGAACGAATTTTCCAAACTGAGACTAGCTATGGAGCCCTCGTCCCCCGCCCCAAGATCCTCACAGCGAGGAGCGGAGGGGTAGGGCCAGATCCCTTCAGGTGGGCGATGCTCGCTCCGACGGAACGGGCGTCCGGGCGAGGGGTTTCGGGTCTCGCAGAACTGATCGCTCGTTCAAGAGGGCAACTACACACCACCGATAACGTTCGCGGCCATCACGCGTGGTAAGAATTATTATCAGTGGACAACGAGCGTGCAGAGCAGGGGAGCAGTCGGCCGGGAACAAGGACTAGAGTAGGTGAGCTCATATGTTCCAGTGAGGGTAGACGGGTGCATTAGAGGGAGTATCCTATTCCACTCAGACTGCTTTGCTTGATCGCAGTCGTTTCCAGCGGGGAGCCATGACGCTTGACGTGGAGCTTGTACACAGCTCGAATCAACTGGCCGACTCGCTACGTGGACTGGGAGAAACATGCAGCCAGGTGGCCTCCCTAGTTTCCAACGAGCTGTGGCGTAAGCCGCTCGGAGCGCTTGTTGCGGGAGGGGGGGGCTCGGCTCGGCTGTTCCCGCATTTTGGTGATTACGATGGCACCACCGAAAGTCGGTCTGCTCGTGTCTTCTAAAAGATGCCGGAAGCCGATGCGCGCGGTGAGCATGGCGTCGCGTGAAGAGAAAGCCGCAGGTCATCCATCAGAATATTGAAAAGTTGACGCAGCTCACGCTGCTCCTGCTGCTGTCGTTCGTCCTCTCGATTCCTGCCGTGGTGGTCGTCGTTGCTGTTTTTTCCTCCACTCCGAAGGCGGCTCCCGCTCTTTCCGGGGGGGGGGGGGAAACGACCGCCGGGTCCACCGGCCCTCGACCGGACACACAGAGAGAGAGAGTTTCGAAGGAGGAGAAGAAACAAGCGCGTCGGGCCGCGAACGGCCCTCTCGACGACCAGTCGGCGAACTTGGTGTGAAGCAGCGAATGCACGGTAAATCTAAAGGAATATCCCGGCTGAGAAACTCGGGGGCATTTCCACAATAGATGTTTGATTAATGAGCGACAGACTCCCAGATACGCGTCGAGGGAGGTCTCTCTTTATCGTTGTCGTCTTCTTCGCAGGAGTTTCGCTTTTGCTCCTGCGTCGGTCGCTCAAGGTTCCGCGTCGGTGAAAATCCTTCGAATCGGATATTGTGTGCAAAAACCCTCAGAGCACCGATGAGCTTGTTCTTGATTCGGTGATTTTGGTGTCACGTCATCGGCGGAGGTTTTTCGAAATCAACGTCATATAAACCTCCAGACCCCCATGGTCCCAACGCAAGTGAGGAAAAGCGTGTGTCTCACGACAGATATGAATTCGTTTTTGGAAGACGATAAGGGAATCCCGTCATTTAATCTGCTCACTGACTGCGGGTTGAGAAACGAACTCCTCCGACGCAACAACGCAAAAGCTCCGGAAAGCCAGGGCGCGATAGGGATCTTTGTTGCACAACGAAGAGAAGCATCTGCCGACACCGAGAGGAAAACCGACCACTGGGTGTTCGAACGAGCCGGAGAAAAGACCAGGCAACGCCGGGAGACGAACCCTCCCAACTTAATGTTTATTTGCCCTGAGTCTGGAATTCGTCCCACCGTAAAGACAGCGTCTTTTCTGCTTGCGTGGCCTGTTCTGTCTGCTGTACGTGTCCGCCTGTTCCGATCCTGGGCGGTCGGACGACGGCGACGAAGGTTGGTCCAAGTATTTCGAAATAGACGCGATAGGGCGTCGAGCGTGCAAAGGAGCGACCGGAGGCCTCGACCGAGCGGGGAGGCGATTCTCCCTTCTTTGTTATCCGTCTACGGAGTCGTATCCCACGGAGATCCTACGCGGGCAAATCCGACGAGCTCCTGAGAGTACGGGGAGATATCTGAGCAGATTCGGGATTCCAACGACAAGGAGACAAGTGTCGGAAGGGAAAACAGGGCAGCGAGGAAATTATTCCGGGAGAAATTATCGTTGATGCCGACTCTATTCCGCAGAGCTAATTCCCCTCGAATAATCGCAGAAGAGTTCAGGGCTGGCTGGAGATGAGGGAATCGCTGGAAAATCTCCTCGCGAAGAGTATGTGTGTATAGATCGGAAATCGTGGGTGTCGTCGTCGATACACGTTATGAAACTTGTCATAAGGCGACTAGCACACAATGTTACACGATCGCATTCTTGCGCTCGCTGCGATGCAGCCGTAGCATGGATAAAACAATCGAACCGGTAATTTGCTCAATGCCGGGTCGCGCTGCGCTCTTTGCCGCAGATGTAACGGCTCGGTATGTGAAAATGATCGCAGGGCATCGAGGGCGTCGGCGGCGATAACAAACGGGGCAACGGGGTTGCCGATTTCCATGACCGTATAGCGCCGAAACTCTACCCGCGGGGTACTAATCCGAAGATCTCTTGACAAACCTCATTAATCGAGTAGCGTCCGGCAAATGAGCGGTGGACCGAGCCGGCAGCCGGAAGAGCGTACCTCATAACGCGGAAATAGACTCCACGATCGGTCAATAAACTCGAAAAGCACATTGAGAAAGCCCGTCGACTCCGCCTGTTCCCGCGTTCGGTCTCCTCGCGTCCTCGCGTCCGAGTCCCTGGAGCTCTCTCGGTTCGGGATCGACGCAGCCGACGAGACAGACCGCCTGGCCGATATTCGCGCTGCAAGGACACCTATGAGTGGTTCGGGAGCGAAACTCACCATCAGCCGAGCAGACGAGTGCTGACACGAGAACGATGTACAACACGGTTGGTCCTATCGGGACCAAACAGTCGTTGAGAGTCCGCATCACTCCTCACTTCTGCAACAAGGGCCCTTGGCTGTTTGTTGGAATTCTCCTCCGGACGGCGCCGGGGGCATTGTCGATGAACTTCGATTCGACTGCCCCGAATCCGAGCAGTACGTATCTTCAATAAGGGGACAACACCACACTCCGATTCATTGACGCGATCCCGAGCTGCGGCGGCGAACCGCGCACACACACTCACACACTCCGACTTCAGCTCATCACTTCTATCAGCTCAGCACTTGCGACCACGTATTCATCGGACGCACGTTACGCTTGACCGTTTCGGTTTTCAGTATCACGCAGATCTTTTCCTCGCTCGACCTGATGATCGGAAGTCTGTCTTGCTCGCGTTGCTGGACAACGAACAATCCGACTGTGGGTTCTCCTCTCTACAAGGAGAATGGACCATGACGCATGCGCATCCGGGACTGTGTCGGAAAGGGCCCGCTCTCTCCCTCTCTCTCCCCCAGGAGTGAGGAGTGAGAGGCCGCTCGCTCCGACCTGGGGTGAGGTGGGGTGGGGTGGCGCGGAGGGTAAACGAACGAACGAACGGACTGCTCGAATGGCGGCCGACTCTTTTTGCGACACACTGGTCGGCGTTCTCGTCGTCGAATGGGTCGCCCATCGGCAGGTAGGTGGGATCGTCCGTTGGTCGGTCGTCGGCTGTTTTGCCCGAATGACTCAGGTCTCCGACCGGGAGTTCCCCACTGTTTTACCGCGAGCGGCGCGGACTCCACCGCAAGTAGAGGGATCACGATATGTGCGTGCACAGGCTCCCATGCTCGGGTTGGATCAGTTGTTGGGTAATCTAATAAACGATCCGGATCGTGCTGCTGCTTGTGGAAGCAACCGCGGCCGAGTGCGGACGATCGGGCTCGCGGCGAGAACTGAGAGATGTTGGGCACGCTTCTCGAAACTAAAAAAGGAGTCAGAGCATACTCTCACTCTTCCGTGCTTGAATACGGCGCTCAAGGAGAAGAAAAAATATTCACTACCATACCTTCCTCGTGGCAAAGATCTGCTTTGGATCGACTCGGAGCATCTCGGGACACACCGATTCTCTTTCCCAGGCCTCGGAATCTTTTTTCTTTCAAATTAAATTTCGCTTTGATTGATGGACAAGTTCTCCGATAATGGAAAGGAGGGCTGCGTCTCGGAACAAGATGATCGTCTCCGAGCGGTGTTTTATTAAGTCCGCCGCTGTCACGAACTTCTAATGCCCCTCGGTGGATTATCATCCGAGGAAACAGGGACACGCTCAACTTTCCCCGATGCATCTGGTTTTCCCCTTCATCACAGTATTCTGAGTTACACTGATTTGATTTGTCTGGACAGCTGCTTGGGGGGAAGGACGGCGACGGAAGGGAAAAACTCGAACGGACCTTATCTCCCCGGAGATGAGTCTCGCCGCGAGAAATCATGAACTCCTCTCGCGGGTGTTGGGAACATCCGAAAAGGCGGCCGTCGAACGGAAAAGGGTGTTGGGGAGGCGCGATCCCTCTGAAGGAGCTAAATTAATGGAAACTGAACATCCGTAACCCACGAGCTGCGAGTGAATCCTCTCAGGACGGATGGCTAATTCACTCCTGGGCGAGACCCCGCTTCGACGGTCGGGGTTTTTTGACCATCATGAGTTCATCGGATGAATTGGGAACGGCGCGCTTCTGGACTCGAGGACTTGGTCTCGCTCGGAGAGAATACCACAAACATGTCACCAGGCTCGTTCAAGTCGTCTGTGGGGGAAAGGCCTCGTGTGAATCTCCCCGGGTGAGAAACCGTGAGAGGAAAACTTTTTTCACTGGTTTCCTTACGGTCATCGGTACGTTTCGGGAGTCGCCCGGGGTCCGTCGAGACGAGACTCTGACCCCGTGAGGGCGGAGTAAAAAACCGAAATCGCCGAGGTAGAGCTCGAAGCATCGGTGGGATATACATATGAGTTTATTCAGCCTGTCGATAGTCGCTCTCTTGTTGTTCCCTCTATTTGCGGCGAATTTCCATGCGAGGCACTCACGGCGCAACCCACGTACGCCCTCGTAACCCTAGCTTTCCAAGAGACTCGAAAGTGGGCCGACAGGCTTTTCTGTTCGTAGAAGTGACGAGCGGCCGACTCTGACGCCTGAACCTCATTCGAATATCGAATTTCACGGAGGTTATCCGGAAAGAGCTTTCCGGTACTCCCTGTTCACAAGCAGCTGATCCAGGCCATTACGGGATGTGACAAACACATCCTCGACCTAAGTTGCGTATTACGCAGCGGGTCGACCCCCGGCGAAAAAGTCTCTGGGATTGATTTTCCGCTAATGAAAATTTCGATCCGGCTCTACATGGGCCGTACTAGAGAATCCAAACGGGCGTACCCGGCTTGTCGGAAGGCCATCGCTTAGCCGGGAGCTCCGTTTGTCGGAGCGGCGGCCAGAATTCGGATGACCGAGGGATATTCGAATGGATTCCGCGATTCTTCCCAAGGGACGACTTGAGGGAATTGTGCGAGTTCGCCTTCATTTGCGACGTCACGTTTTTCATTCGATCGCTCTCGTGTCCAGGAGCATTCTCAAGAAAATAGGTTAGCTTGACAAATAGAGGCCAATACATGGCCTCGCTTTGGTAGGCGCACAGAGCATGAGCCTGTGAGCCGCTTTGAAGCAGATTCGAAGCTGCTGTCGCTGCCTCTGCGGCTGCTCAGGTATCATTGGCGGCCCATAGGCCTGGAAACACGCACACACGCAGGCACTCGGCTGGCCTGACTAGAGTCTCGGGCTTGCAGTGGGCCAAGTCGCCGCCCGCAGCCGCCTTAGCCGCTGATGCCGACAGAGAGCGGACAGCAACAAGGCTTTTGGCAGCCGGGAACGTCGCTAGCTGTGAATGAATGTCTGCTCGAAGCACAGTGTTCGAAAACTCATTGACTTGAGTACTTTTCGTTGGATCTCTTTGTTGAGAAGAAGTCCACCACGTAGGTGTTTCTCGTGGAAGCTCGGTCCTCGATGGAGTTCAGATGAAGCTTAACACTTGAGATATAACGGCATCATCATCATCTTAGGCGACACAGGTGAGCTACCGAATTCATCCTCGGTGATCTTGGTCATTGAGTTAATAGATCAGATCCGATCGAAGGGCGAGCCGACTCTCTCAAAATTCCGACATTCGATCTGGAGCCGAATTTGAATATTATGCGAGGGAGAATGTCATGCTTCTGGCTGAAATTCGCGATATGAAGATGGATACCATGGAGCAATATTCAGAGAGGAGGTGAATTCCTAGAGGAGCTCGTCTATGTCATGTGGAACGCTCGAATTCAAATGTGGAGCGAAGTCGAGCCCTCGAGCAAGCCAGATGTCTGTCAGACGTCTTGTACTATGCAACAAGCCGCGCAGGGTCCTTGTTGCGTGTTCGGACATACTTCAACATTGTGTAAGCGGTGGCAAGTCGCATCTTCCGATTCGGCGCAGACGAAGGCGGACGAAAACCAATTTCACGTGAATACTCGGCCTGGATGACGCAACTCGTCAACCGAACGAAGGTTGGTACTCTCTTCAATGGCAACAACCGAGTGACTGGCCGCGCGGTTCATCGGACGTGAACTCGATATTCCGTCGAGAACCCCGCGGCTGGGGCAATCTGATGGGATAATTACTTCATCCTAGATCCCGGGGGGGGGAGCGTCTATTTGCGCACCGGTTGGCATCAATTTTTATGCCGGTTCGTCTGCTACATGCCACCGGATCCCAGGGTGGCGAAAGGTCCATGAATCGAGGCCGACGCGAACTCATCCGAATCCTGCCCGGTCGGGGTACGCCAAGGCGTGGGGAAGGAGAGAAACCACGATCGAGTGGATACATGCAGTGGTCGCAGCGAATCGGTTGAATTTTTATGCTTTCTTCGGCACGAAGCGTCCCTTCGAGGAAAATTCAAATGATTTATCCATGAACCTACTCACACCTGATATGATGGGCCTGACGAGGGGCAGGAGTTGACGGGAGCACGATCACAAGTCAGACCTGAGCAGCTCAGGGAAGAAATCGGGGAGGGAGACGCTCTATGAAGTTGCGTTCGCGAAAACGGAAGCGTCTGATAACTCGTCGGTGACCAATCGATTCCCAGTGGAGTCTATCCCCCGGCTCATTCATTGAGGAGTGAGATCTCCGAGTTTCGGATCTGGAGCCCGGGAAAAAGACTCCGCTCCGGTACCGAGGCGCAGCACTGGCATCGATAATGATCCGGTAATGAAGATTGCAGGAAACATCGGAGGAGGGCGGGACGGTGTGCGAAAAAAAACGCGGACGGGCTTGGTTCTCCCCACATAGCATTCTGTTTTACGCTGAATCGTCATCAAGCCTATTTTGATGCGGGGCTCTTCTTTGGTAATTAGTAATTATCGTGCTTCGAGGGTCGATAAGTTTTTCGGGTCGCGCTTCGATTAGCTCGGGAGTCGGGGAGCATCTTCCCCGCCATTCCGAGGATCACCCACCCGACGAGTCTTGGTGTCCTCCGAGGGGATGGCCGGATCAATGACGAGTGGCTCGTGGAGCGCTCCCGACAGGTTCTTTTCCTCGAATGTCGAGAACAGATTTCATGCATATGGCACGCGCTTGGATAAGGGGAGTTCTCAATTGCTAGAATAATGCGCCAGATTCTCTCGAGGGACGAGCCAGGCGGTAATTAAGGAGTGGAAGGAGCGGAGTACCTAGATACCGACGCGCAAATGCTAAAGTCGAGCATAACGGAAAACATATCTTGAGGGGCCTGTGTGGGCCCATCTTCCGCGCTTCTTCCGTACGCGACTCTGCAGAAGTGCTGTTATCGTTTTCGTGGCTCAGATCCTTTCCGCGCGCCTTCTTTCATCACGTGGAGCCAAGCCGCCCTTTCTCGCCCGGTCCGCTGGGACAAACACGCGGGTCGGAGTCAGAGCCTGAGCGGAAAGCGGCTAGTGACAGGGACCCGCTCTGCTAAGTTCTCGGCAGGACAATCCTCATCCTTCGGCAACGCAAACAAAAATGCGGGAAAAACCCTACACAAAACGAGAGTGAGTGTCCCATCTGCTCATCACTCAACAAGTGAACTGACTGGATAATCTGAGCGAGTGAAGTGTCTCTGCAAGGAGCAGTTTCCACCCGCGGTTTCCCCGGGATGCGGACGATTAGGTTTCGTCGGGAACGGCGTTCGGCTAGATATCGAGCAGTGCAAATTTTACGGAGCCGATGAGAATTCAGGAGATGCGAGTGAATGACGGGAAGTACCCAAAAACCAAGTAAGGCGAGATATTCAGGAATTCGGAGCTCGTGTCCTGACTGCCCGTGGATTGGAGCTGCTCTCCGCGGCTCTGTGGGGAGAAAGCAGTGAATTATTCGTGCGATCG